ACATACAAACACACAGGCAGAACACTCATCTTTTAAAAAAACATGTAGGTAACTACACTTGTTTTGTTATATTTTCAGTTCTATATAATTGATTTAATAAGCTGCATGTTTTTAAAGTGTACAATTGGATGAGTTTTTTTTTTTTTTTTTTTTTTAGTTTTTCGAGACAGGGTTTCTCTGTGTAGCTTTTTTTTTTTGGTTCTTTTTTTTTTTTTTGGTTTTTTGAGATAGGGTTTCTCTGTGTAGCTTTTTGTTTGTTTGTTTGTTTTTTTTTGAGACAGGGTTTCTCTGTGTAGCTTTGCGCCTTTCCTGGAACTCACTTGGTAGCCCAGGCTGGCCTCGAACTCACAGAGATCCACCTGGCTCTGCCTCCCGAGTGCTGGGATTAAAGGTGTGCGCCACCACCGCCAGGCTTTTGTTGTTTTGTTTTTGTTTGTTTGTTTCTTTCTTTTTTTTCTTTTTCAAGACAGGGTCTTACTATGCATCCCTGGCTGTCCTGGAACTCACTCTGTAGACCAGGCTGGCCTCAAACTCACAGAGGTCCACCTGCCTCTGCCTCCTGAGTGCTGGGACTAAAGGTGTGTCCCACCACACCTGGCTTCAGTTAGATGAGTTTTGATGTACACATTTGTAAACACGCCACCACAATCAAATTAATAAACATTTCCATGACCTCAAGAACTCCCTTCCATTCTTTAGAAGCCCTCCCTCCCTGCACCAGCCCCTGGAGTGAGGCGGACATCTATCTGCTGCTAGAAGAGCCGTCTGAATTCCCTAGGATTTTAAAAATTAACAGAACCCTACAGTTTCTACCGTGGTTTGGTTTGGTTTTTGTCCACGCTCTTTGTGTGATTATTCTGAGTTGTCTCTGTTGTTTCTGTTTGGGGGAGGGAGGACTCATGTGCCAGGGTTCCTAGATGGATGTCAGAGGACAGCCTCGGGTCTCAGTCTTCACCTTGTTGAAGACAGGGTCTCTGGTGTTTGCTGCCGTGTGCCTCAGGCCAGCTGGCCTGTGAGTTTCTGGCAGTTCTCTTGTCTCCGCTTCTCATCTCTCTGTGGGCACACTGGGGTTACAAAGAACTGCGCTGCTTGGCTGACTTTTTGTGTGGATTCTGGGGGTTTGAACTCAGGTCCTTAGGCTTGTGCAGCAAGTGCTTTTATCCACTGGGCTATCTCCCAGCCCGCTGCTGTTTCATACATCGGTAGCTCACTCCTTCTATCACTGTGTGGTATCCTCTGGATAGTATATGATGTCCATTTTCCTGCTTGTTTTTCCATGGTCTGGCCATTGCAAATAAAGCTTCTATGAAGTGAGAGCCTTGGTTACATTTTAAGTTTTAATTACTATGCCTAAGAGATCCAGGAAAATAAAAATGCCTCTGATCTGCAAGCCTCTCTCTCACCCAAGGACAGATAGTTCCAGAAATGCTGGAGGCTATGTTTATGGGAGATAACAAGCCACATGTTTTCACCCTGCTAAACAAGTTTGTTTAACCATCTGCATCTGTTGTGCTTGATCACATGTGGGCGGGAGGTACGTGGACAGGAAATACATCAGGATATACCCTAGCCTTAGACCTGACTGGATGTAAGCAGGAGGTGCACAGGCAGGAAGTACGTCAGGATGTATGCTTGCCCCTGATTGGACCTCATGGGAAATGTGGCGAATTATGGGTTGTGGCTTCTTAAGCCTCTGCAAAACTTGATTGGGGTCATTTTTCTAGAAAATCAGAGATGGACCTGGCCGTAGCCCACCCACCTGGCCAGTATTTAATTTAAGCTTGCTTCAAATTTCACTTTAAATTGTGGTGATGGTCTTATTCTCAACCCTTTGGGATTACCAATGAACATTCCTCTTCAAATCTTTGTGTGGGCATATGGTCTTCTTCCTTTTGGATAAATATCTGCAAGTGGAATGTCTGGGTCATATGGGAGTTAAGTGTTCAACTTTTTAGCAAACTTCCCAACTGTTCAAAAATGCTTGTCTAATTTTACATTCCCACCAGCAGTAAGAATTCTAAGTCTTCTATATCTTTTGCCAATACTCAATGTGGTCAAGACTTTTTTAGACATGCTAATGAGTATACACTAGTATTCCATTATAGTTTTCATTTGCATTTCTCTAATGAGCAATGATATTGAACAGTTTCTCAGGGGCTAATTGCACATATTTTATGTCATGACTGTGATGATTAATCTTAATTGTCAGTTTGACTGGAATGGAGTCATCTAGAACCACTTTTCTTGGCATGCCTATGAGGGTGGGTCCAGAGAGACTTAATGGATGAGGAAAGACCCACCCTGATTGTGTGCGGCACTATCCCTTGGGCTGGGTTCAAACTGAGTAAAAAGACAGATGAACATGACTATTTTTCTCTCTTTGCTTAATGACCATGAGCGCCATGTTGTAAGAAATATCAAATATGAGTCTTTTCTTTCGACTACTATAAAATTTATGTTTAGGACAAGGAATTGAGATTTTCTTTCCATCTCTCCCACCGTGTAAGACTTTTATGCAAATGTTTGGATCCTCTCCACCCAGTAAAACCTTTGTTTACACAAAGGCTTACTGCTCTATTCTAGGAATTTGATGGCCTGGCGCAGTGACCCTTTTCTCTTTGGACCAGTGACCCCCTTTCCCTTCCTCCATTTCCTGTTTGGCCAATTCTTTTCAGACTAGCCAGTTGAATAAGATTGTGAGGCTGGACCCCAGCAAACAGAGGGAAACCCAGCCAACACCTGAGTTAGAATGAAAACCAAATGCCCTGCCTGCTCCATGTGTTCGCTCTTCTGGAGGCATCAAGTAGTTTGTCTTGTCCCTGCACGCCAATTGCTGCCTAGGTCTCTTTCTTTGCGACTCCGAGTGCATGTCTAACAACGTGATCAGCCACCTCAAGCTCCTGATGTCACAGCTGGAGTCATAATTGTTGTAAAGCCTTCTCCCCCAGATGGACTGCACCCTCACACTGTGAGCCCAAAAGGAACCCCACAACTTTGGTTATTTCTGAATATTTTTAATGATTGAATTGAGTTTGTTAGTACTTATCCCCTTTCTGAGTAATGAAGGCTGTTTCTTTTTTTATTCTGACCCCCCCTTTTCTGACTTTATTAATGAGAACTTCAAATAACGAAATATCTTGGCTTTAGGAGATGGTTTTATCCTCAAAGAGGATGTTGGCATTAGCATACTTAATCCTTTAAACATTCTTGTATGCCATCCTGTTTCTGAGTTCTTTTGTTAAGATGTTTACCTTTAAACTAATTACATGTCTTTTTTCACAATTATTTAAGGATTATAAATTTTTTCTCACTTGGAATGAATTTTGGCTTCTCTCCTTTTTTAAAAAAAAAATACATATGAAAATGCTACCAGGAAGTCAGAGAATAACTTTCTTCTTCACCATGTGGGTTGTGGAAATTGAACTCAAATCATTGGGCTTGTATGGAAAGTGCTATTACTCACAGAGCCATCTTGCAGCCGTGTGTGTGTGTGTGTGTGTGTGTGTGTGTGTGTGTGTGTGTGTGTGTGTGTTGTGGGATAATCTTTTTTATACACTGTGAAGATGTGTCTCTGACAAAGCACCTTCTGATTGGTTTAATAAAGAGCTGAACAGCCAATAGCTAGGCAGAGGATAGGTGGGACTTCTGGAAGAAGTAGGAACTCTGGCAAGAAGAGAGGCAAGATTCTCCAGAGAGATTCAAAGTACAGTATGGAGGAGAGGTAATGAGCCACATGACAGAATGTAGATTAATATAAATGGGTTAAGTTTTAAGAGCTAGTTGGGAGCAAGCCTAAGCTAAAGCCAAGCTTTCATACTTAGTAAGAAGTCTCCATGTCATTATTTGGGAGCTGGCAGTACAAAGAAAGTCCTGCTACAAGTATGTGTGTGTGTGTATGTTAAAACTTGACTGAGTGCATCTTAACTATTGTGCTTCCATAAAACTAATAGTTAACACCTTCTCAGTCATGTGGTTTCCTGAGAGAAGTTGAAGACAAGCTACCTTCTTCCCTTTAAGGTCCCCCCCACCCACGCTGCCCGCCCACCAATGCTTACAAGATTTCTTTTTCTACAATCTCGGTATCTTTACATTCTGTCACTAGTACTTACAGTTTATTGTTTGACACTCATTTCACTGGGTTTTTGGAGAGCCCCTCTAAATGCTGATGAATTATTATCACAGACAGTGTGAAGTGTCTGTGTACGGCATTAACGACCCGTCGGGTTTGCGGGTGAGGGATCTGTAGGAAGGGAAGAACAAAGGGGATTTTGAACGTGGTCCACTTTGTTGTAGGGTTTGAGCTGCCGGCTACTACCCCATGCCATCCCTTGGTGGAAAAATCCAACAGGCCTCACTGATCGGGTGATATTTAGGATTCTGCTTTTGTTTTCTTGTTTCTGGCTGGTCCTTCAGATCTGAGGCAAGCCAACTGCCCTTGCAATGTAAGGCTTTCCTCTTGTCGGGTCTTTGTACATGCTTTTCATCTTGCCACCTATCTTTCTTTTTTAAAATAATTTTTATTTTTATTTTATGTGCATTGGTGCTGTGTCTCCATGTATGTCTTTGTGAGGGTGTCAAATCCCCTGGAACTGGAGTTCTGGACAGTTGTGAGCTGCCATGTAGGTGCTGGGAATTGAACCCGGGTCCTCTGGAAGAGCAGCCAGTGCTCTTAACCTCTGAGCCATCTCTCCAGCCCTCTTGTCACTTATTTCTTTTGTGTTATTGCAGAGACTGGAAAATCTATTCTTTATATTTGGTTTATGATTTTTGCAGTTTTGTATTGGCTTTTTTTTTGGATAGGAATACCAAGTTGATCTTCATAATTGGATTTTAGTTTTTCCTTTTTTTTTTTTTTTTTTTTTTTTTTGTTTTTCGAGACAGGGTTTCTCTGTGTAGCTTTGCGCCTTTCCTGGGACTCACTTGGTAGCCCAGGCTGGCCTCGAACTCACAGAGATCCGCCTGGCTCTGCCTCCCGAGTGCTGGGATTAAAGGCGTGCACCACCACCACCCGGCTAGTTTTTCCTTTTATTTACTTTCAGATACTTAATTATTTATTTTGTGTGTGTACGTGCCTGTGCAGTGCTCATGTATACGTGTAGCATATCTGCAGGTGCCTACAGGGGTCAGAAGAGGTCACCGAATCCCCTGGAACTGGAGTTATGAGCAGTTGTGAGCGGCCTGACTTTGGTGCTGAACTCGGGGCCTCTGAAAGAGCAACAAGCGCTCTTAGCTACCCAGCCGCCTCTCCAACCCCTTCTTCGTTCCCTTTCCTAGTTCTTTGCCGTCGACTGGCATTTGCATCCCTCGTTTTTGTCCAATCCCTGTTTGCAGCTTCCTCTGCTTTGTAGCACTTCCTTCTGTTCGTGTGTTAGCTGACGTGCAGGATGCTGCTCGGCCACATTTGCTTCCTCAGTATCCCGCTTTCTGACATCCGTGTCTCGGGACGTGCTCAGAGGCCCCGAGACGTTTTAAATCTCTTCAATGGCTCCTGACAGGAGATCTGCCCAGCATCCTTTGTTTCCCCCCACCCCCCACCCCCATAAGAAGCAGCAGGGGGCATCATTCGAATGTTTCTCAAACCTTATATCAAAAGAAATTGCGTTCTTCCTAAAGCATTTTTCGAAGAGGAGGATGAAAAGGTTAGAGTGAGAACGTGTGGGAAGGAGAAAGGTAAGCTTCTTTCTATGCCTTTTACTTGGCTGCAAGGTCCTTTCTCCGATCAGCCTCTGTCCTCGCTGTCATACCTCTCTGGGTCATGATGCTATGGCTGGCACATCAAACCCAAGTCCCTGCCACCCTCTCCATGGGTTACTTGTCTTGATGGCTGCCTGGAGCTTGGGTGTGGGGGCCGGCAGGGGGAGGGGATGTGGAGTTTGGCACAGGGCTTCTCACTGGGACTGTCTATCCCCACCCTCTGTGGAGTTTCGGAAGGGGAGCCTGTCAACAACAATACAAACTTGCAGAGCCTGTTTCTCTCCCATCTTGGAAGGAGAACGTGAGACACTGGCATGGAGAACAGATACGATAGCAGGCCCTTTTGCTAGAGGTCTGGGAAGCACGTGGTTCTTCCGGGTTCCTATTTCAAAACTGTTTGCTACCCAGGGAATCGGGGTTTAGCTTCTACAGTCAGGCTTCGAGAGTTGGCCAAAACCGCACAGCATCTCAGCCTCTTCAGTGATGGCTCGGTCAGGATGGACCACACAGGTCACAAGTAGTTTAGCAGCTCTGTGGCCTCTCCTTCACCAGCGTGTATGTAGCTATGGCAGAAGGACACCGTGACTTTTAAGACCAGGGCTTTAAGCTCAGGAACGGTTGGTATATGATATGGTGGCCCCACCCTTGACTACCTTTTATGATGCGTCACCCTTCCCATCTCAGTGGGGTCCAGTGGGCTGTCGGAGGCTGTTGAGCTAGTCTGCAGAGCTCGGTGAGGTTGTACAAGCACACTTCCCACACTTCCCAGCCCCCAGCAGCTGGCTTCTTTCTGGCCCTGGTCTTGACTGGAGATTTGGTAGGGGAGAATGTAGACTTTCCCATCCTTACCCTAGAATGGAATCAATCAATCAATCAATCAATCGATCTCTCTCTCACCCCGTCTCTTCTATATGACCAATGCGCTGACTCCCTATTCTACATAACTACTCTATATTTGCCTGGCCAGTGGCAGTAACACTGAGGGTAAAGACAGAGGCTTCCACGGCTGCCAGGCACTCTTTCTATCACCTCATCCTCCCTGGACCTCAGCTGTCCTCTCCCTTTCCTGCTTTGGGTCTGTGGGTGGTAAGGACCCAATGTATACTGTCTTCTGTGGGTACCTTGGCCCTACCTATGTTAGTACTCCTTGACCAACAGTCTGGTAGCCCCCTTCAGTGGGGACTGCTTACTTCCTTCTATGACCCAATCCATAGTACAAACCACAGTGGCCTTCGCTTGGTTGGGATCTCCTGATATCACGTGTCTCTTTACGGCCTTGCTTGTTTTCTTTTCTTTTGCTGTTGCTGTTTTTAATGCAATCTTATCTAAAAACACTAGATAAAAGGGAAGGCTCCCGACTTAAGTTGTAGGAGGTAAAGTGCTGACTGCCTGTCAGTCTCCTCATTTTCCATAGCTGCCAGAGATATACTCGCTTGCAGCCCCCAAGGATTCAAGCAGCATGGTCTAACCGCTGCATTGGCAGAATAGAGACAACAGCTTGTGGTTTTAAGCATCAAAGTAAAGGCATTTCTTTTCATGGTTTTACTTATGTGGAATGGGTGTGTGTGTGTGTGTGTGTGTGTGTGTGTGTGTGTGTGTGTGTGTGTGTATGTGTGCATGCATGCCTGAGGTTGATGGCAGGCATCTTCCTTGACCACTCTCCACCTTACATGTGGAGACAAAGTCTAGCCAGCTTTCCCCAGGGATCCCCCATCTTTGCTCCCTCACTCTGCTGGAACCACAGATGGGCCACTACACTTGTCTGGCTTTTATGTGGTTTCTGGGGGTATACAAAGGCCTTCCTCATGTTTCTGCAGAAAATGCTTACCTGTGGAGCTATCTTCATGTCCCAGAAGACATTTCTTCAAGATGCCATCTATGAAGGCCAGTTGATCCCCTGTACCTGTTAGTTCTGCGTCTGTGCATTCAATAAAGAATGCTCAATCATACCACAAAGATACATGCTCAACTATGTTCATAGCAGCATTATTTGTAATAGCCAGAACCTGGAAACAACCTAGATGCCCTTCAATTGAAGAATGGATTAAGAAAATGTGGTACATATACACAATGGAATACTACTCAGCAGAGAAAAACAATGACATCATAAAATTTGCAGGCAAATGGATGGAACTAGAAAATATCATCCTGAGTGAGGTAACCCAGACTCAGAAGGACAAACATAGTATGTACTTGCTCATAAGTGGATTCTAGATATAAAGCAAAGGACAATCAGACTACATTCCACAGATCCAGGGAGGCTACCTAGCAGGGAGGACCCTAGGATGACTGTGGCTCAGAATAAGTTTTGGTTTTGCCCAATCACTGGGTGTGCTTTAGTGAAACATTTCACTATTAGGATAAGAATTTGTACCGTATCAAGCTGATGAAAGGAGATGCTGGCTGTACTTTAAGGAGGGGAGACTAAAATCTTTTTAGATTATGGATTAGCCTATAGAAAAATGTCTGCTGTAAATCAAACAGTGAAGGGGAATTTGAATAGGAATCTCACTTATACAACAAGTAAAACATAGCTCTCTGAACAGATGAAGATAGGTTTCTTCTGTATCCCAGAATCTAATCAATATTTATATGTATAATTCAGCTAATATTTGGCTTAAAAGGGCTTATTGGGAAATGTTACCATTTTTACTATTTTCTACAGAGAAAATATTTTCCAGTTTCAAATAACTCCGGACTTTGGAATTATAACCTGTTTTTATGTAAAAAAAAAACAAAACATTGAAGTGGAAAATGCTGACGGACCACTGCACTCGATGTATTTACATGACTATATCTGTATAAAATAATGGCTATCAATGCTTGTTTAAAAAGGAGAAGTGCAAATGTGAATTTAACAAGAAGTTGTAGCTTTTCGACACTGTACACAAACTCCTTTGTTACAAATATTTATGCTTCTAAAAAAAATAAAAAAATAAATAAAAGAATGAGTCACAAAAAAAAAAAGGAGTGGGTTGAAAAATGGGTTTGAGACTAAATTGTGCCTGAAATGGAGCAAATCTCCAGCAGCAATGGAGAGTGAGGAGGCTGGTGGGCAATCAGCATTTTACCGCTTACAACTTAAGTCAGGAGCCTTTACATTTTTTTTTGTTTAAGATATATATATATATATATATATATATATATATATATATATATATGTGTGTGTGTGTGTGTGTGTGTGTGTATGTATGTATGTATATATGTATATATTATGTACACAGTGTTCTGCTGGCATGTATGTCTGCAGGCCAGAAGAGGGCGCCAGATCTAATTATGGATGGCTGTGAGCCACCACGTAGTTGCTGGGAATTGAACTCAGGTCCTCTGGAAGAACAGCCAGTGCTCTTAACCTCTGAGCCAGTCAGGACTCTTTTTTTTTTTTTAATCTAATGGGGGACTGGAGAGATATCTCAGTGGTTAAGAGCACTGACTGCTCTTCCAGAGGACCCAGGTCCGATTCCCAGCACCCACATGGCAGCTTACACCTGTCTGTAACTCCAGTTCCAGGGGACCGGACACCCATAGCAAAACACCAATGCAGGTAAAATAAAAATAAATTTTAAAAATCTAATGAATGTGTTAAGTTTCTAGGTAAGATTGTGTTTCAAAAAAAACAACAAAATAAAACATGCAAGGCCAAAGGAGACACAGGACACTAGGAGATTCTAACCAACTGAGAGGTACAGATACTTTGTTATAATTTCCCAAGTGACCCAGTATAACAACTATTTCCATATATCATTTACATTGTATTAGATCTTATTAGTCATTTAGACGTGATCAACAAAATGTGTGTAGCTGGATAGCTTTTTTTTTTTTTTTTTTTTTAAACATAAAGGCTAGGGCATCTGGGGCTGGAGAGATGGTTCATCACTTATGAGTACTTTCTGCAGAGGTCTAAGTTTGGCTCCCAGAACCCATGTTAGTAGCTCACAACCACCTGCAACTCTAGAACCAAGGGATCCAGTGCCCTCTTCTGATCCGAACAGGCACCTGCACTACATTTGGCACACATACACCAACATGTACATACACATAAATAAAAAAAAAAATTAAAAATAAATTTTAATGGGGCGGGGACTTGAGCATCTATAGTTTGGCATCTTTGGTGATCACGGAACCAATGGGACCCATGGATATCAAGGAACAGCTGTGCACCAGACCTGTTTTAACTGCTTCTCCTCATGGGTTTGTGCACAGTTTCCTTGGGGGATTGAACCCTTTTGTCCACTTGAGCAAAATCTTTGACCTCTCTCCCAAATGAGGCTTATTAAATGTACAAACAAGAATAGAATTACAAAAGAAAGCCACGTACAAAAAGGTGGTTGAAGCACAGATCGAAGTAGTCAGATGTTTACTTTGCTATCAGCATGTTAAATTACCGGATGGCACAGCCCATCTAACGCATGCTATATTTAAAGTAATGATGGTCTGCGTACAATTTAGGACATCTGCAGCAACTGTAAGAGCTTAGAAACGTCATCATGGGATAGCAAAGACTGTTGGGCTTAATTCACTTCTATTTCTGCCGATGCACATAAAAGGAGATGCTGGATTTGAGAGAGTAGATGCCATTTCTGTCATTCAAGGTCACATACTTCATTTCTGTAACTCACGGCTCTGCCCCTCAGCTCCCTACCCACCTGTAGATGAACTTATTTTTGGTCAGCATTCTTTTCTCACAGACACCCCCCTCATATGCAGACATTAGCCATGAAACAGACAAAAAAAGAGGCTGAGAGGCCGGGAAAAGAGAAAAGTTGTGTTGGCTGGTTTCATGTCAACTGGACACAAGTTTTATGTCAACTTGACACAAGCTAAAGTCATCTGAGAGGAGGGAACCTCAATTAAGAAAATGCCTCCCCCCCAAAAAAAAAGAAAAGAAAAAGAAAATGCCTCCCTAAGATTGGGTTGTGGGCAAGTCCGTGAGGAATTTTTAAAATTAATAATTGATATGGGAGGGCCCAGCCCATTGTGAGTGGTGCCATCCCTGGGCTGGTGACCCTAGGTTCTCTAAAAAAGCAGGCTGAGCAAGCCACGGGGAGCAAGCCAGTAAGCAGGACTCTTCCATGGCCTCTGCATCAGCTCCTGCCTCCGGATTCCTGCCCTCCTGAGTTCTTGCCCTGACTTCCTTTGATGATGAACAATGACGTGGAAGCTGGAACCAAACAAACCCTTTCCTCTCCAAGTTGTTTTTGGTTGTGCTGTTTCATCACAGCAATAGTAACCCTAATTAGGACAAGAGCGATCTGTTTTCCTCACTGCCATGGTAGGGTTCATGCAAGCAGTAAATCTACCTGCCATAGGATGGCGGCTGTTCCCATACTCCCAGACCCAGGCTCATGGTGTCTCCCCAGACACAGTGGGTTCCCCAGACGTCTGGGCACTGACCTCTTGGCTACCACAAAAAGGCATCAAAAGTTTGGTGGCTTAAAATAGCAGAAGTGTGAGACTGGGGAGGATGGCTCAGTGGTTGCCCCATGACCTCATCACCCGTGGGAGGCAGAGACAAGGAATCCCCAGAGCAAGCAGGCCAGACTGGTGAGCAGTGAGCGCTGGGTTCACTTACAGCCCTAGTACGTGGACCTGAGGTCAGTTCCCAGCAGGCAAATTCCAGTTCCCGGGGATCTGATGCCCTCTTCTGACCTGCGCAGGCGCTGCATGCATGTGGTCTGCATACACTGAGGCAAAATACTCATACGCATGAAATAGAAATACACATATCTTTTAAAAAGACATCTACTTACCTTTTTTTGGGGGGGGGCACAATTCATTCATATAGCCCTTCTTCCAAGGCCTAGTTCCCAGCCTTTTGGAAGTCTCCAAGCTTCTGCTTTCCCCCTCCGCCCCCTAGTCCAAAGATCTTTACTCTCTTGCCCTGGGTTAGAAGTTGCCCTGCAGATATGGTTTTAGCGTTACTTAGTGTTTCCCTTTGGCCCCTCATTTCTCCAGACCTGCTAATCAGTTCTCCGCCTGGAGATGCGATTCATACCTGAAAAAGGCGAAAGATGCGATGTAAGTACTAGTGTGCATTGCTTCCTAACTGTGACAACGAGGTGACCACTCCCTCACCGTCCTACAGGTGCGCCTTCCCCATCGTGCTTGACCTCCCCTTAAACTGTGAGCCCAAACAAGACCTTTCTCTCTTATGTTGCTTTAGTTAGGTATTTGGTCAGAGTAGTTCTGCTGCATTCCAGGCACGGGACTTATTTCCATTTATCTGTAGAACCGGGCTAACAAGGGCAATATGAGGTCTAGATCCAGTGAGATGCTGTGAAAGCGTGTGTGTGTGTGTGTGTGTGTGTGTGTGTGTGTGTGTGTGTGTTAGTGGTGGTGGTGGTGAGCAGTTGCCCTCCGATCATTAGTACAGAGGACTCAACATCGCATTAATTACAGTCCAGACAGGGCTCAGGTTCCAAGGGCTGGGAAGACTTGGCCCCTGCCGACCGGAAATCTAATACATGGCTTTATGGCACGAAGATGACTAGCAGTTACCAGAAAACCAGTCCTGGAAGTGTTAGGAGGCGTGGAGGTAGCAGGGAAGTGGTTGAAAGTTTCATCAGACCCTGACATCGGGTGGACTTTGGCCCCCACCTCCAAAGAGGTTAGAAGCGGCGGCAACAGGGTCTTTGAATCCCGCTTTTGGGGCCTGTGCTATGAGCGCAGAGCCTCAGGAGATAAAGAAGCCAGCATATTAGCCAACCACATTTTTTCTAACAATACCAGCTTTAGATCCACCAACACCGAACCTTCTTCCTGTGGAAGTCACTACCTAAGTCCTTAAATCCTTGAGATGGCGGGCTAGGTGCGCCGGTATCCATCCGTCTTGCAGCAGGGAAGGAGCGAGAGGGCAGTGCAGTGATTGGCCAGGAAGTGGACGGAGCCACCGCGTGATTGACTGTGATTGGCCGCCCGCAGACCGCAGGAAGGGAAGAGGAGCCGGTGGCAAAACCCCACTGGACGGTGTGCCCAGGGACACTTAGAAGATCGCCAGAGATTTCAGTTTCTTAGTTAGGAGCTGGTGACATCGCCCTGCCTTATCATAGTGATTTCTGACTGAGCTTGTAGCTGTCTGAACCTTCCAACGCCCTACCTGTAATAGGTCGTTAAAGTTATATGAGAAAAAAAAAAAAGAAAAGGAAAGAATTAGCTAATTATTCAGTAAATGCAGCTGTTGCTAGCAGGTCACAGTCGGCAGCCCTGCTGTGTCATCTGTGGAGGGCTGAGTCAGCCCTGCCTCAAACCTGAACCAGAGGACCGGGACCTGTACGAGGCTCTCTAGCTCCGCTGTCTGGCAGGGGAGCGCAATGAGTTTTGCGACCGTGAAACCGGGAGATTGCGTTAGGGATCAAAACTGGATGGAACCTCACCGCATAGTTCACGCGTTCTCTCCCTCTCCCCCAATTCCCCATCCTCCAGCTGGATCCGTTTACCAGAGATCGGGATTTCTGCTGATTCTTTTTTTTTGCCGAGCCTTCTGTCTCCGTCCCCCCCCCCCCTCCCGGGACTTCAGGCACGCCCTTGGCCAGAACCCAGGCGCCTCCTAGGCTCTCTTCACTTCCTGCCTCCTTAACTCTCAAGAGGGGCGGAGCTGCTTTCCTGCAGGCAATTGGAACCTGGGCATTTTTTGTCACAATAAAGGGGGAGCCTTATTGGCATTTGGTGGCGCTGGCCCGCCATGCTGGGCATCCTGTAAGGTAGTCCTGGGCCACAAGGGATTGTCTTAGCAAGCTTTCAGATGTCCCGCTGGAAGTTCATGCAGGTGAATGCACTGCATTAATTCTCAGAGCTAGGACCAGCCCTATTCTATGTATAAACATAAAGGAGTTTTTGCAAGTCCCTCTTCTTTTCTTTTCTTCCCACCATTCTTCCCCCTCCCTTCCTTCTACTACAGACTCTTGCTGTGTACTCCATTTTATTTACAACGAGTTTTTTTTCTTTTGTTTTTTGTTTTTTTTCAAGATCCTTCTTTCCTTCCTTTCCTCGGGCTCTTGCTATTGGCCCCATGCTGACCTTGAATTTGTAATCCTCCTGCCTCCAGTCTCTTCCCAAGAACTGGGGT